AGGAATATTTTTAAATCTACACATGTTCATTGTTATACAATATTCTCACTTTCATGAGCAAAAATTATTAAAACATTTATACATATAACCAAAAAAAATCTCAGAATGTGATTACAATATGTTGTGCACTTATCGCCACATTTTACTTAACTCTAATGATATTTGCAACAAACGAATCAAGCTTGCAGTAGCAATGTCGAGTTGTCTCATCCTACAAAATCAAAGTAACATTAGATTATTCACAACTTATCCAATTTATCAAAAAACGAAAAGAAATTACTTGAGACGCAATATACCAATATTAATTGGTGAAAAACTCATGAGTTTTTCTCAATCTTCTTTATCATTCCCATGATGCAAGAAGACGACCAATAATAGACTTGATGCAAGAAAACGTAGGAAGAAATTATCACGATGAACACTTGATGCTCAATATCAAAGAGGAGCTTCAAATAATATTTAATTACATAGAAATTGATTTGTTAGGGTTTGACAATGCAAAACAAAGATCTGGAAAAGAGAATAATGAGGACACATGCATAAAAAACTGAGTGGAAGAGATCTGTGGTGGAAGTAGTGATTGAATTAACGGAGTGAAAGAAATTTGTCGCAATTGTTGTGTTCTTCTTCACCTTATCTTTAGATCGAGAAATTGTTGATCGTTTAAATTATATAGAAATTCCAAACGATTGTTGTACAAAAGAAATTATATGTATATCAAGAAAACACAATCATTAAATTAGATCTACAAACTATAGCAATGTTAATTAAAAATAAATCTACCAATTAAAAGAAAAATAACATGCCAAAATAAAAAGAAACAATTGGAACATGCACCTGAAGTTACCTCGTCAATCATTATATGAATTCACGAAACCTATAAAACATCAAAAAGAGAATCATACCAATAACCGAGAAATACAAAGTATCAATCAAAGGAAAAGAGCATATCATAAGCGTACGATAGAAAAAACAAAAAAAAACTAATGATTTGTTTAGGTTCTACGAAATCATGAGGAATG